TGTGTACATATTGTATATATGTATATAATACGGTGTACTTATGACTAAAACTTCTAGCTAGAAATAAAGTAACGATAAAAGTAACTAGCAAAATCGTTACCAAAAATGTAACTGCAGTACAATGAACGTTACTCAGAAAAAAATGTAACGTCGTTATCCATTCATTATCAAAAAAACTAGTAACGATAACGACGTTACAAGTAACGCGTAACTTGCCAATCCTCTATGTATGTGATTAATTTTTCGTGTAAAAATAACACATTGCACTACATACAAAAATGGATTTACATATTTAATAAACGAGTAGTGTCATTCATACATGAAAAATTAAATTATATACATATGTTGAAGTCATTTTTTAGTTAACCAGAAAATGAAAAATCGTAACTATAAAGTTGCCATTATAAAATTATCAGTTATTATAATATAGTTATTAATCATAAAGATATTTTAAATAATAACAGAATAAATTATTAAAAATGATGATAAAATTTGAATAATTATCAATTATTTATTATATAATTAATTATATTTAGAAAATCACAATTTTTCTATTATCGAGTTAAGTAAAATTAAGTCTAAGTTCAGAAAATAAAGAACCGAGCCTAAGAATTGGAAAAAAAAAAACTTTTTATACACTTTGATTTGCGAGTGAAATAACGTAATCCGATGCGACTCTGACTTGTTTTGTACTTTTTGATACAGGCACAATCGAAAAATAAAAAAAAAACGTGCAGAATGCATACACGCAATTCGCACGGAAGATATGATTTCATCACTCGGTTTAACTCCGTCCAATAATTTCGATGTATCATTTCAGCATTTTTCTATCTGTTTGCCATCGAATGACGCTTATCGAACTGGACCCTCGGCAGGCGCTAAAACTCACACCCGACCGCTCGGTCATTTCCGACTTCATTGGGTACGAAATAACACGGACGATTTGGCAATTTGCTGAATGTGGCTGTGACACGTGCGGATTCGCGGTCGTGCAATCGCGGGAAAGAGACCACCGACGATTCGACGATTGCATTCAGTGACCAGATTGCTTGACCGTCCATTTGCAATGCGCATTTCAACGGAAAACTGAAAGCTCTGACTTGAATAATTTAACGCATGAACGCGCCACGTGTTTTCGAATAATCTATAATGCAATGTATCGCGCGGATAAAATAAAAACATACGCGAAAAATATTCCCAATAATTAATGATTTATCATCCGTGGTTATCCGAATACAGAAGGAAATCCCCATAAAATTTTATGTATATAAAATTAATGTGATGTATATTTTGCTTTTTCATATAATATGTATATATATATAT